CTTCTCTTCGCTTCTCTTCGCTTCGCTTCCCTTAGCTTCGCTATGCTTCTTTTAGCTTTGCTTAGCTTTGCTTTGCTTCGCTTAGCTTCGCATCGTTTCGCTTCGCTTCTAATAGCTTCGCTTAGCTTCACTTCACTTCGCATAGCTTCGCTTTGCTTCTCTTTGCTTCTCTTCGCTTCGCTTCGCTTAGCTTCGCTTAGCTTCACTTAGATTCGCTTAGCTTCGCTTAGATTCGCTTCGCTTTGCTTAGCTTCGCTTAGCTTCGCTTAGCTTCGCTTCGCATAGCTTTGCTTAGATTCGCTTCGCTTAGCTTAGCGTAGCTTTGCTTTGCTTCGCGTAGCTTCGCTTCGCTTCGCTTCGCTTCGCATATCTTCGCTTTGCTTCTCTTAGCTTCGCTTCGCTTCTTTTCGCTTCTCTTCGCTTTGCTTCGCTTAGCTTCGCTTTGCCTCGCTTTGCTTTCCTTAGCTTGGCTTCGCTTCGCTTAGCCTTGCTTTGCTTTGCTTCGCTTAGCTTTGCTTCGCTTCGCTTAGCTTTGCTTCGCTTCGCTTCTCTTCGCTTCTCTTCGATTCTCTTCACTTCTCTTCCCTTAGCTTCGCTTAGCTTCGCTTCCCTTAGCTTCGCTTCGCTTCCCTTAGCCTCCCTTAGCTTCGCTTCACTTCGCATCACTTCGCTTTGATTAGCTTCGCTTCGCTTCTCTTAGCTTCCTGTTTGCATCGCTTCGCTTAGCCTCGCTTCGCTTAGCTTCGCTTCGCTTCGCTTAGCTTCGCTTACCTTTGCTTCGCTTTGCTTAGCTTCGCTTCACTTCGCTTAGCTTCGCTTAGCTTCGCTTTCCTTCTCTTAGCTTCGCTTCGCTTGGCTTGGCTTTGCTTCGCTTCGCTTCGCTTAGCTTTGCTTCGTTTCACTTTGCTTTGCTTCGCTTCGCTTAGCTTCGCTTAGCTTCGCTTCGCTTCCCTTAGCTTCGGTTCGCTTCCCTTAGCTTCGCTTAGCTTCGCTTCGCTTCGCATACCTACGCTTAGCTTCGCTTCGCTTCTATATGCTTCTCTTCGCTTCGCTCAGCTTCACTTAGCTTCACTTAGCTTCGCTTCGCTTCTCTTTGCTTCTCTTCGCTTCGCTTCGCTTCCCTTAGCTTCGGTTCGCTTCCCTTGGCTTCGCTTAGCTTCGCTTAGCTTTGCTTCGCTTTGCATAGCTGCGCTTAACTTTGCTTTGCTTCTCTTAGCTTCGCTTCTCTTCGCATTGCTTCTCTTTGCTTCTCTTTGCTTCGCGTCGCTTAGCTTCGCTTACCTTCGCTTAGCTTCGCTTCGATTAGCTTTGCTTCGCTTAGCTTCGCTTCGCTTCGCTTAGCTTCACTTCGATTCCCATAACTTCACTTAGCTTCACTTCGATTCCCTTAGCTTCGCTTAGCTTCGCCTCACTTCGCTTAGCTTTGCTTCGCTTCTCTTAGCTTCGCTTAGCTTCGCTTCGCTTTGCTTCGCTTCTCTTAGCTTCGCTTCGCTTAGCTTCGCTTCGCTTAGCTTCGCTTCGCATAGCTGCGCTTAGCTTTGTTTTGCTTCTCTTAGCTTCGCTTCTCTTCGCTTTGCTTCTCTTTGCTTCTCTTTGCTTCGCTTCGCATAGCTTCGCTTACCTTCGCTTCGCTTCGCTTAGCTTCGCTTCGATCAGCTTTGCTTCGCTTAGCTTCGCTTAGCTTCGCTTCGCTTCGCATAACTTCACTTACCTTCGCTTAGCTTCGCCTCACTTCGCTTAGCTTTGCTTCGCTTCTCTTAGCTTCGCTTAGCTTCGCTTAGCTTCGCTTCTCTTCGCATAGCTGCGCTTAGCTTTGTTTTGCTTCTCTTAGCTTCGCTTCTCTTCGCTCCGCATCTCTTTGCTTCTCTTCGTTTCGGTTCTCTTTGCTTTGCTTCTCTTAGCTTCTCTTCGCTTCGCTTCGCTTCGCTTCGCTTAGCTTCGCATCGCTAAGCTTCATTTCGCTTAACTTCACTTAGCTTCGCTTAGCTTCACTTCGCTTCGCTTAGCATCGCTTCACTTCTCTTCGCTTAGCTTCACCTAGCTTCGCTTTGCTTCGCTTCGCTTCGCTTAGTTCCGCTTAGATTCGCTTAGCATCGCTTCGCTTTGCTTTGCTTTGCTTTGCTTCGCTTTGCTTCGCTTCGATTCACTTTCCTTAGCTTTGGTTCGCTTCTCTTCGCTTCGCTTCACTTCGCTTAGCTTTGCTTAGCTTCGCGTCGCTTCGCATAGCTTCGCTTCGCGTTGCTTAGCTTCGCTTAAGTTTGCTTTGCTTCGCTTACCTTTGCTTCGCTTAGCTTCTCTTAGCTTCGCTTAGCTTTGCTTTACTTCGCTTAGCTTCGCTTCGCTTCACATAGCTTCGCTTTGCTTCGCTTCGCTTCTCTTCGCTTCTCTTCTAATAGCTTCGCTTAGCTTCGCTTCACTTCGCATAGCTTCGCTTTGACTCTCTTTGCTTCTCTTAGCTTCGCTTCGCATAGCTTCGCTTAGCTTCACTTAGATTCGCTTAGCTTCGCTTAGCTTCGCTTCGCTTTGCTTAGCTTCGCTTAGCTTCGCTTCGCTTCGCTTCGCTTAGCTTCGCTTCGCTTCGCTTAGCTTCGCTTAGCTTCGCTTAGATTCGCTAAGCTTCGCTTCGCTTCGCTTCGCTTAGCTTCGCTTAGCTTCGCTTCGCTTAGCTTCGCTTAGATTCGCTAAGCTTCGCTTCGCTTCGCTTCGCTTACCTTCGCTTTGCTTCGCTTAGCTTCTCTTAACTTCGCTTAGCTTCTCTTAGCTTCACTTAGATGTGCTTCGCTTCGCTTTGCTAAGCATTGCTTCGTTTCACTTTGCTTCGCTTAGCTTTGCTTCGCTTCGCTTAGCTTCGCTTCGCTTTGCTTCCCTTAGATTCGCTTAGCTTCGCTTCGCTTCTCTTTGCTTAGCTTCGCTTCGCTTCTCTTCGCTTAGCTTCGCTTCGCTTCGCTTAGCTTCGCTTAGCTTCGCCGAGCTTCACTTCGCTTCGCTTAGGTTCGCTTAGCTTCGCTTCACTTCGCTTCGCTTTGCTTCGCTTCCCTTAGCTTCGGTTCGCTTCCCTTAGCTTCGCTGAGCTTCACTTCGCTTCGCATACCTGCGCTTAGCTTTGCTTTGCTTCTCTTAGCTTCGCCTCTTTTTGCTTCGCTTCTCTATTGTTGTGTGATGTCATCATATGCTATCACATTCTGTCTGCCTCCCATCCCATGTTTTCAACTTGCATGTGTGGTTTGAATGTGCAAGCATTTGTGTGGTGTGTTCTGGAGTTTGGGAATGTGTTCTGTGTTATTTTTGTTTGAGCAGGTATTTGTGATGATAGATCTTGAGAAGATCTTTCCGACGCAACGAGAATCCCTTCAATCGGAGCAAGAATGCGAAAGCTATGAAGATTCAAAGTTCATGAGCTTGCGTTACAATTGCGGCGGTTACTAAGTGAAGTTGTGGGGTGACTCTATATGGAGTTGGGACCTTTGGGGTTGGGGAAACTTGTCACTCTACTGTAACAGCTGCAAATAGGTTGGGAACAACCAAGCTAGGTTGGCAAGGGTGGCCAACTTGGATGGATTGGTTGGGAAGGGACAAAGGTCAAAGTTGAGGTTCCTATAGGGAGGGAATCTTTGTGCTTATGGGGTTTCCTTGGTTGGGGACTCTCTTGGGACCTTCCCTCTCATCCCTCTCTTCCTATCCCAACCTTTCTCTTGCTCCTTCTAATTCCTTGTGAGATTCTTGAACTTTGATTGAACCTTTGAGATTGAGTTAAGTTCTCCTCCTACAGCTTACCCCCTAGTGCGTCGAAAGCCATAGCGTCGCGAATACTTTATCAATCAACATGATTCAAATTGGGAACGGTAGCTGAGATTAAGAGCTCCAACATATCCAAGTTTCGCGATATTCCAACGGCTAGTTTTTCGTCGACGTCGTTTCTTGTGAAGACGACTTTTCTGTCCAGAATTTCGGATTTATATTTTGAGTAATTCTAGCTCCTAAGTTCACCTAGACTCCGTCCTTAATCCTAACAAGTGGTATCAGAGGCATATTAAGGATATTGAGAGGAGTCTACAGAAGTGTGAAGACCCTTCTAGACCCACCATGGCCTGTGGGTGTGCCTAAGTGGTGTTCTAAATGTTGGATGTGTCTTCCGCTAAGGGAAACTCTGCCGAAATTTCGTGGACGCCGACACTTGTGAAAATATCGAGGGAGCTGAGTGTGGACAGCAAAGGGGAGCTGAAATTCGTCATTTCTCAAGGAGAAGATGAATGAGAGAGGAGGAGATGCTAATGGAAGAGGAGCTGTAGCTGAGAAGACAAGTGAGCCGCCGCCATCAAAAGTTGAAGCTTTGGATGGCTCCAACTATGAGGAATGGAGCGGACGGATGAGGAGTGCCTTCAAACGCTACAAGCTACTGAAGATTGCTGTTGGGGAAGAGAAGATGCCGGAAGAAGGCGAAGCACGCGAACGGTGGATTGAGAAAAGCGCGGTGCTTTTCGACCTCATTCTTCAATCGGTCAACAAGGAGATGTTCGAACACATCAAGGATCTTGTGGAAGCGGATGATTCGGGTCCAAGGGCGTGGAAACTACTACGCGATGTGATTCAGCCCAACACTCTCCCGATGGTGATCGTGCTCGAGAAGGAACTTGCTGCCATCTCCATGCGACCAGGGGACGATGTGAAGCCGGTCCTTGACAAGATCAAGGACACCTATGCAAGGATGGCAGCAGCGGGCAGTAGTGTATCTCAGCTGCAGCAGTGCACCAAGATCATCTCGGTGTTGGACAACTCTTGGGACAACCTCATCCCCACCCTCAACTCTCAGCAAGATCAATGGACACCTGAGTGGCTAAGGCAGCAGATTCTGCAGGAGGACTTCCGCAGACGCCATGTGGGAGGCGGTGCTGCCACTAAGACTGCTGAGGGGTATGGAGCTGCAGGGCGCGGCAGAGGAAGAGGGGGTTGGAGAGGCCGAGGCCGTGGGAGAAGCTTTGGCAGAGGTAGAGGCCGAGGTGACTATAATGAGGGGCATGGGAGCTCCAGTGGCAGGGGGAGTACCAGAATGGAGGGCACCTGCTGGTACTGCAAGAAGATAGGGCATCCTTGGTTCAAGTGCTTCAGCAGGCCGGAGGGATGGGCACCTCCAGGCATGAAGCCGCCCAGTGGTGAACGCGCACAAGGTGGTGCTGTGCAAGGCTCAGGTGCACAAGGTGAAGGTGCACAAGGTAATGCCTATCCTGGGATGTTTCTCATGGTTGAGGATGTGCATGGGCATGAGGGTGATGTGGGATCTGTGGGAAAGGTTGTGATGCACCCTCTCACGCACTGGGTGATTGATTCAGGTTGCACCAGTCACATGACCCCACGGGCAGATTTGCTTGATGAGGTAAAACCCCCTGGGAAGATCAAGTATGTGGCAGCAGCGTCAGGTGCTTTGCTCCCTGTGATTGGTGTTGGGAATGCCAAGGTTAAGGGAGCTAATGGGGAGCTTGTGGGGCTTGGGAATGTTCTGCTAGTTGAAGGTTTGTCTGCTAACCTTCTCTCTGTGCGGCGACTGCAGAAGAGCAAGGCCGAAGTGACCTTTGGACCAACCAGCTGCCGTGCTAAGCTTGGGAAGAAGGTGCTGTGGAGTCTGGAAGAGGAGACCAGCTGCATCAAGGACCTATGGCAGCTGCCCATCATCCCTTGGAATGGGAAGACTCCAACAACAGCAACGGCAGCAGCGGCAAAGGCAACAGCAGGAGGAGATGCAACTGCACCAACTGATGGGGTCCTGGAAGCAGTCAAGAAAGTGCACCAGCAGCAGACACATAGTGAGGTGCTTGCTGGTGTGGATGCGAGTGCGGCATGGGCTAAGGCTTCATCAAGGAGTGGAGAGGCCGATTGGGAGACATGGCATGAGAGGTTGTGTCATGTGAACTTCCCTATGCTGCAGAAGTTGGTGAAGAATGGGAGCCTGAAGGGCTTGGAGGTGAAAGGGGAAGTGAAGGAGATTGGGAGCTGCCCTACATGCTTGGAGACCAAGTTCTCCAAGTTCCCCTTCAACAGTGCAACAGGACCAGCCAAGACCCCACTTGCACTTGTGCACATGGATGTGGTGGGGCCCACAAGAGCCCCTTCCCTCTCAGGCAGCCGCTATTTCTTGACAATTGTGGATGACCACACTCGGGCAGTGTGGGTTTACCCTTTGAAGAGCAAGGGGGAGGTGGCAGCGGCTGTCCTTAAGGAGTGGATGCCTAGAGCTCAGAGGGAATGCGGATACAAGGTGAAGGTGATCCGCAGTGACAATGGTGGGGAGTTCATTGGAGCTGATTTTGAGGGGGAGTTGAAGAGGAAGGGGATCCAGCATCAACTGACAGTGCCCTACAACCCACAGCAGAATGGCGTGGCTGAGAGGTTCAACAGGACCCTGCAGGAGGGGGCACGCACTCTCCTTGGGCGTGCAGGGCTGCCTGATCCGTTTTGGGTGTCTGCACTGAGGCAGGTCGCCCTTGTGAAGAACAGGGTGCTGGCTACAGTTGGAGATAAGGAGTGGATCCCATATGTCAAGTGGTATGGGAGTGCTCCAGCTGTGAACATGCTGAGGGCATTTGGGTGCATGGTGGTGTTTCATGTGCCTAAGGAGAAAAGGGGGAAGTTGGAGGCTTCTGGAAGATGGGGTGTGCACTTGGGGATTGCAAAGGATCACAAGGGGTGGCTGCTATGGGACTTGACCACCCAGAAGTTGACAGTGTCAAGGGATGTGAAGTTTCTTGAGTCCCTGTACTACAAGGAATGGAAGCAGCAGCAACAGAAGCTTCCATCTACACCGCTCATTGTGGAGGCAGATGAGGTGCAGCAGCCTTCAAGACAGGTGGAGGTTGCAGTGTCAGAGGAGGAGATGTCTGGGGTGACTGAGGAAGGGGGAGCAGCTGAAGTAGAGCAGCAGCAGCAGCAGCAGCATGAGTCTCCATCTCGAGTTCCACACCCGCCTGAGCGACCTAGGAGGGATGTGCGCCCTCCTGTGAGGCTGACCTATGGGGGAAGAGGCAAGCCAAATGTGGTGCAGGCTGGGAGTGTGGTTGAGCAGATTGAGGAAGATGAGATCGCTCACTGCTACTGGGCACCAATCCCTGAGCCCAAGACTCGAGAAGAGGCCTTGAATGGACCAAATGGGGAGAAGTGGAAGGCGAGTGAGGATGAGGAGTTCGGGTCCCTGATTGAAAACGAGACATGGGACCTGTGTGACTTGCCTCCTGGGAAGAAGGCAATCACTTCCAAGATGATCTACAGGCACAAGTATGGACCTGAAGGGGAGCTGACCCGCTACAAGTCTAGGCTTGTGGCAAGGGGGTTTCAGCAGACAAAGGGGAAGGACTATGATGAGGTGTTTGCTCCTGTGGGGAAAGGAACAACATTGAGGGTGCTATTGGCGATGGCTGCACTCCTGGGATGGAAGATACGGCAGATGGACATTGTGACTGCCTTTCTGAATGGGATCATTCTGGAGGAGGTGTACATGAAGCAGCCAGAGGGGCTGGATGATGGGAGCGGCAGGGTCTGCAGGCTGAAGAAGGCCATCTATGGCCTTAAGCAGGCGCCTCGTGCATGGTATCACAAGTTGGAGGAGGCGCTGTTGGCTGGGGGTTTCAAGAAGAGTGAGTGTGACCCCAGCCTGTTCCTGCTGCAGGAGAAGGATGAAATCCTCATGCTCTTGGTGTATGTGGATGATATCCTTCTCTTTTCTGCATCCACTGCTTTGCTGGACAGCGCAGAGCAGATGCTGGAGATGCAGTTCAAGTGCTCCAAGATGGGTGAGGCGAAGTACTACTTGGGGATGCATGTGGAGAGAGATGTGGAAAAGGGTGTGCTGAGGTTGCACCAGAGGAAGTACTGTGAGGGGCTGGCTGAGAAGTATGGGCTGCAAGATGGGGGAAAGCCAGCAACACCACTACCTTCAGGGTTTACTGTGGAGCCATGTGCTGATGAGGAGGTAGTGGGTGATAGTGACAGGAAGCTGTTTCATTCGATGGTTGGGTCGCTGAATTATGCTGCAAATCATACACGGCCTGACATTGCATTTGCTACATCACGACTGGCTAGCGTGGTTTCACGTCCTAGTCATGAGCAGCTGGAAGCGGCCAAGAGGTTGGTCCGCTATGTGAGTGCTACGGCATCAGTGGGATTGGAGTACAGTGGAGTGAGGCAGCGGTTGCAGAGAGGTGCTGCAGATGTGAAGAGTGGTGAGATGCTCTTGAGTTGCTATACTGACGCTAGCTTCAACTCAGTGAAAGCGGATGGCACCAGCATTGGGGGTTATGTGTGCTTGCTGGGAGGTGGTGCTGTGAGCTGGCGCAGCAAGAAGCAAAATGAGGTGGGATTGTCTTCATGTGAGACTGAGTACATGGCCTTACACCATGGGGCCAAGGAAGTGGTATGGCTGAGGCGTTTGTTAGAGGAGTTGGGAGTTGGTCAGGAGGAGCCGACAGTTGTGTTCTGTGACAATGAGTCTGCAGTGAAGCTGGCCAAGAATGCTTGTCTGCATGGGCTGACAAAACACATAAGGCCTAAGTGGCATTGGGTGAGGAGAATCCTTGATAAGGAGGTGCGGCTGGAGATAGTGAAGACCCATCAGCAGGCAGCAGATATTTTCACTAAGCGTCTGGCGGAGGCGGATCATTGGAAGGGCATGAAGCTTGCTGGGATGAGTGTGCATTGAGTATGCATGCTTGAGATGTGGTATGGTCGATGATGGTTGGCAGCCAGAGGGGGAGATTGTTGTGTGATGTCATCATATGCTATCACATTCTGTCTGCCTCCCATCCCATGTTTTCAACTTGCATGTGTGGTTTGAATGTGCAAGCATTTGTGTGGTGTGTTCTGGAGTTTGGGAATGTGTTCTGTGTTATTTTTGTTTGAGCAGGTATTTGTGATGATAGATCTTGAGAAGATCTTTCCGACGCAACGAGAATCCCTTCAATCGGAGCAAGAATGCGAAAGCTATGAAGATTCAAAGTTCATGAGCTTGCGTTACAATTGCGGCGGTTACTAAGTGAAGTTGTGGGGTGACTCTATATGGAGTTGGGACCTTTGGGGTTGGGGAAACTTGTCACTCTACTGTAACAGCTGCAAATAGGTTGGGAACAACCAAGCTAGGTTGGCAAGGGTGGCCAACTTGGATGGATTGGTTGGGAAGGGACAAAGGTCAAAGTTGAGGTTCCTATAGGGAGGGAATCTTTGTGCTTATGGGGTTTCCTTGGTTGGGGACTCTCTTGGGACCTTCCCTCTCATCCCTCTCTTCCTATCCCAACCTTTCTCTTGCTCCTTCTAATTCCTTGTGAGATTCTTGAACTTTGATTGAACCTTTGAGATTGAGTTAAGTTCTCCTCCTACAGCTTACCCCCTAGTGCGTCGAAAGCCATAGCGTCGCGAATACTTTATCAATCAACATGATTCAAATTGGGAACGGTAGCTGAGATTAAGAGCTCCAACATATCCAAGTTTCGCGATATTCCAACGGCTAGTTTTTCGTCGACGTCGTTTCTTGTGAAGACGACTTTTCTGTCCAGAATTTCGGATTTATATTTTGAGTAATTCTAGCTCCTAAGTTCACCTAGACTCCGTCCTTAATCCTAACATCTATGCTTCTCTTCGCTTCGCTTAGCTTCGCTTAGCTTCGCTTCACTTTGCTTAGCTTTGCTAAGCTTCTCTTAGCTTCGCTTAGCTTTGCTTTGCTTCGCTTAGCTTCGCTTCGCTTCACATAGCTTCGCTTTGCTTCGCTTCGCTTCTCTTCGCTTCGCTTCTAATAGCTTCGCTTAGCTTCACTTAGATTTGTTTCGCTTTGCTTAGCTTCGCTTCGCTTCGCTTAGCTTCGCTTAGCTTAGCTTCGCTTCGCATAGCTTCGCTTACTAGACGAATTGCTATAGACAAAGTGCTCCAGTAGAAGTGCTCCAGACGAAGTGCTCCAAGCGAAAGTGCACAAGACTAAGTGCTCCTGACGAAGTGCTCTAGACCAAGTGCTCCAGACAAAGTGCTCAAGATTATGTGCTCTAGACCAACTGCTCCAGATGAAGTGCTCTTGATGAATGTGCTCTGGACAAAAGTGCTCCAGACAAAAGTGCACCAGACAAAGTGCTCCAAACGAATTGCTCCACTCAAAGTGCTCCCCGATGAAGTGCTCCAAACGAAAGTGCTCCAGACAAAAGTGCTCCAGACAAAAGTGCTCCAGACGAAAGTGCTCCAGACGAAAGTGCTCCAGTCGAAACTGCACCAGACGAGGTGCTCCAAACGAAGTGCTCTAGACAAAGTGCTCCATACCAAGTGCTCCAAACGAACGTGCTCCACACCAAAAAGCACTAGACGAAGTGCTCCAGACAATGTGCTCCAGACGAAAGTTCTCCAGACCAAAGTGCTCGAGACGAACGCACTAGATGAAGTGCTCCAGACAAACTGCTCAAGACAAAGTGCTCCAGACGAAAGTGCACCAGACTAAGTGCTCCAGACAAAGTGCTCAAGACCAAGTGCCCCAGTCCAAGTGCTCCAGACCAAGTGCTCCGGACAAAAATGCTTCAGATGAAACTGCTTTCGACAAAAGTGCACCAGACAAAGTGCTCCAGACGAAGTGATCCAGACAAAAGTTCTCCAACAAAGTGCTCCAAACGAACGTGTTCCTGACCAAAAAGCACCGGACAAAGTGCTCCAGACAACGTACTCAAGACGAAGTGCTCCAGACGAAGTGCGCCAGACGAAGTGTACAGACAAAGTGCTCCAGGCGAAAGTGCACAAGACTAAGTGCTCCTGACAAAGTGCTCTAGACCAAGTGCTCCAGAGAAAGTGCTCCAGACCATGTGCTCTAGACCAACTGCTCCAGATGAAGTGCTCCAGATGAATGTGATCCGGACAAAAGTGCTTCTGACAAAATTGCACCAGACAAAGTGCTCTAGACGAATTGCTCCAGTCGAAGTGCTCCCGACGAAGTGCTCCAGACGAATGTGCTCCAGACAAAAGTGCTCCAGACAAAAGTGCTCCAGACGAAAGAGCTCCCGACGAAAGTGCTCCAGTCGAAAGTGCACCAGACGAAAGTGCACCAGACGAAGTGCTCAAGAAGAAGTGCTTCAGACGAAGTGCTCCACACGAAGTGCTCCAAACGAATGTGCTTCAGACCAAAAAGCACTAGATGAAGTGCTCCAGACAAAATGCTCCAGACGAAAGTTCTCCAAACCAAAGTGCTCAAGACGAACGTGCACTAGATGAAGTGCTCCAGACGAAAGTGCACCAGACTAAGTGCTCCAGACGAAGTGCTCGAGACCAAGTGCCCCAGACCAAGTGCTCTAGACGAAATGCTCCAAACCAAGTGCTCCAGACAAAAATGCTCCAGATGAAAGTGCTCTCGACGAAAGTGCACCAGACGAAGTGCTACAGACGAAGTGCTCCAAACGAACGTGCTCCAGACCAAAAAGCACTGGACGAAATTTTCCAGACAACATACTCTAGACGAAGTGCTCCAAACGAACTGCTCCAGACGAAGTGCTCCAGACGAAAGTGCTCTGAGCGAAAATTCTCCGGATGAAAGTGCTCCAAACGAACACGCACTAGATGAAGTGCTCCAGACGAAGTGCTCAAGACGAAGTGCTCCTGACCAAGTGCTCCAAACAAAGTGCTCCAGAAGAAAGTGTTCCAGACGAAAGTGCTCTAGACAAAAGTGCACCAGACGAAGCGCTCCAGACAAAGTGCTTCAGACGAAGTGCACAAGACGAAGTGCACCAGACGAAAGTGTACCAGACGAAGTTCACCAGACGAAGTGCTCCAGACAAACGTGCTCCAGACGAAATAGCACCTAACAAAGTGCTCCAGTCAAAAGTGCTCCAGACGAAGTGCTCCAAACGAACGCGCTCCAGACGAAAAGGCACCAGACGAAGTGCTCCAGATGAAGTGCTCTAAACGAAGTGCTCTAGGCGAAGTGCTCCAGGCAAAGTGCTCCAGACGAAGTGCTCCAGATGAAAGTGCTTTAGACGAAGTGCTCCAGATGAAGTGCTCAAGACGAGCGTGCTCTAGATGGAAATGCCCCAGACAAAGCGCTCCAGACAAAGTGCTCTAAACAAACGTGCTCTAGACCGAAAAGCACCAGACGAAGTGCTCCAAACGAAGGGCTCTAGACGAAGTGCTCGAGACGAAATGCTCCAGATGAAAGTGCTTTAGATGAAGTGCTCCAGACGAAAAAACTCGAGACAAAAGTGCTCCAGACGAACGTGCACTACACGGGGTGCTCTAGACAAAGTGCTTCAGATGAAGTGCTCCAGACGAAGTGCTCCAGGCGAAAGTGCAACAGACTAAGTGCTCCTAACGAAGTGCTCTAGACCAAGTGCTCCAGACCATGTGCTCTTGACCAGGTGCTCCAGATAAAGTTCTCCAGACGAAAGTGCTCCAGAAAGTGCTCCAGACAAAAGTGCTCCAGACGAAAGTGCACAGGACGAAGTGCTCCAGACGAAGTGCTCCAGATGAAGTGCTCCGAAAGTGCTCTAGACGAAAGTGCACCAGACGAAAGTTCTCGAGACGAAAGTGCACCAGATGAATGTGCACCAGATGAAGTGCTTCGGACGAAGTGCTCCAGATGAAGTGCTCCAGACGAAGTGCAGCAGACGAAGCGCACTAGACGAAAGTGATTCAGACGAAAGTAATTCAGACAAAAGTGCACCAGACAACGTGTTCCAGATGAAGTGCTCCAGACAAAGTTCTCTATACGAAAGTGCTCCACACAAAAGTGCTCCAGATGAAGTGCTGCAGACGAAAGTGCTCCACAAGAAGTACTCTAGACGAAGTGCTCTTGACGAATGTGCTCCAGACAAAGTGCAATAATGCAAAGTGCTCTAGACGAAGTGCGCCTAATAAAGTGCTCCAAAAAAAAATGCTCCAGACAAAAGTGCACCAGACGAAGTTCACCAGATGAAAATACTCAGGACTATGTGCTCCAGACGAAGTGCTCAAGACGAACGTGCTCTAGACGGAAAAGCTCCAGACAAAGTGCTCAAGACAAAGTGCTCTAAACGAACGTGCTCTAGACCGAAAAGCACCAGACAAAGTGCTCCAAACGAAGGGCTCTAGACAAGGTGCTCCAGACGAAAGTGCTCCAGGTGAAGTGCTCCGGACGAAAGTTCTCGTCGTTTGGAGCACTTCGTCGGGAGCACTTTCGTTTGGAGCACTTTGTCTCGTGCTTTTTCATCTAGAGCACCTTCGTCTGGTGCACTTTGTCTTATGCACTTCGTATGGAGCACTTTGTTTGGAGCACTTCTTCTGGTGCATTTTTGTCGAGAGCACTTTCTTCTGGAGCGCTTCGTCTGGAGCACTTTGTTTGGAGCACTTGGTCTGGAGCACTTGGTCTGGAGCACTTGTTCTCGAGCACTCCATGTGGAGCACTTAGTCCGGTGCACTTACGCCTGGAGCACTTCGTCTAGTGCACATTCATATGGAGCAATTTCGTTCGGGGAACTTTTGCCTGGAGCACTTCGCTTGGAGCACTTTCGTCCAGAGCACTTTGTCTTGAGCACTTCGTTTAGAGTACGTTATCTGGAGCACTTGATCGGTCCTTTTTGGTCTGGAGCATGTTCGTTTGGAGCACTTCGTCTGGAGCACGTTCATCCGGAGCACTTTCATCTGGAGCACTTTGTTTGGAGAACTTTCGTCTGGAGCACTTTGCCTGGAGCACTTTCGTCTGGAGCACTTTGTCTAGAGCCCTTCGTTTGGAGCACTTCATCTGGTGCTTTTTGGTCTAGAGCACGTTCGTTTAGAGCACTTTGTCTGGAGCACTTTGTCTGGAGCTTTTCCATCTAGAGCACGTTTGTCTTGAGCACTTTGTCTGGAGCACATAGTCCTCAGTATTTTTGTCTGGTGAACTTCGTCTGGTGCACTTTTGTCTGAAGCACTTTCGTCTGGAGCACTTCATCTGGAGCACTTCGTCCTGTGCACTTTCGTCTAGAGCACTTTTGTGTGGAGAACTTTCTGGAGCACTTTCGTCTAGAGAACTTTATCTGGAGCACCTGGTCAAGAGCACATGGTCTGGAGCACTTGGTCTAGAGCAATTCGTCTAGTGCACATTCGCCCAGAGCACTTCGTCTGTAGCACTTTCGTTTGGAGCACTTCGTCTGGAGCAGTTTCGTTTGGAGCACTTTGTCTCGTGCTTTTTCATCTGGAGCACCTTCGTCTGGTGCACTTCGTCTTGTGCACTTCGTTTGGAGCACTTTGTCTGGAGCACTTCTTCTGGTGCACTTTTGTCGAGACCACTTCTTCTGGAGCGATTCGTCTGGAGCACTTTGTTTGGAGCACTTGGTCTGGAGCACATGGTCAGGAGCACTTGGTCTGGAGCACTTCGCTAGGA